GCTCCGCGTCTGCGGTGTTTCTTCTGGCCGGGCTTGCGAGGGGCATCCAGCCCCGGCGACGTGGAGCCTGCTGGAGGCCCTCTGCGACACAGCGCGCGTGCTGCAGGGCGCGGCGCGCTCGGCTCGTGTGCCGTGTGCGTGGCGGCAGCGGGCCATCACTCACCAAACCACCCCAACCCGACCCCAAGGCCTCGATTCTTGCCCTCCGCTTCCAGCTGGGGTGGGGGAGGGGGTCGGGGAACACTGCAAAACCGCATGGAGCCCGTACCCCCCCCCCCCCCAGCCCGAAATGCGGGTCAAGTTCGGGCCTTCGGGCTGGGCAAGGGGGTGGTCTGCTGGGTGCTCGGCGGGGGGTCCGCGGGGCGCAGGGCGGCCGGAGGGGCCGCGGGGCAGGCGCGCGGAGGCGCCCCTGGGCTCCCGGAGTCCCAGACGGGGCGGGGCGGCGCCGCGGGAGCGCCGGCCGCGGGGGGGCGCGGTCGGCGGCGAGCCCCGGGGGGGGGGAGGGGGGGGGGAAGAAGGGTGGAGGAGGAGTGGGGGAAAGGGAGAGGGGGAAGGGGGAAGGGGAGGGGGGGGGGGGGGGGGGGGGGGAAAGGGGTGGGGGGAAGGGGGGGGGGATGGGTGGGGGGAAGGGTGGCGGAGGGGGGGGAAAGGTGGGAGGGGGAAGGGGGGGGGAAGTTGGGGGGGGACGGCGGGGGTCATGGGGGAGGGGGGGGAGAGGGGGGGGGGTGGAGGGGGGGGGGGGATGGGGGGAAGGGGGGGGGAGGGAGGAGGGGCGGGCCTTCTCAGAAGGTTCGGAAGTCCCCCGGACTTCTGGCACGTTTGTTGAGCCTCCCCCGAAGACGCAGAGAGCCTCTCAGAGGGCGCGAGGGCTTCTGAGAAAGCGCGCCGCCTTCTGAGAAGGCCTTCATCTTCTCATTTCCCCCTTTGCTCGCCGCCAACACGGGTGGCGCTCCCCCGCGGGGCGCGATCTGCTCGAGAGGTGTGCCGAGATGAGCGGGGCGACGCCGGCGAGCCCCTGCACTGGGGCCGCAGGTGCGGCCGCCTCCTTTGGAGGGGGCGCGATCCTCACGAGGGGTGCGTCCAGCCGCGGGCGCGGCGCCGCCCTACGAAGCGAAGCCTCCCTCTGGGGCAGCTCGGGGAGTTCCCCACTGGGGCACAAAAGGCGTGCGAGGGAGACGAGGTGGACTGGGCAGGCGGGCGGGGGACACGAGGCGGAGGCGGGACGGAGACGCGCGGGGCTGCGGATGCCCAGGCGAGGGCCCAGCACCACGGGAGGGCTAGGAATAAGGAAACAAAAAGTGACATAAACATAAAAACTCGGAGGTCCGCGCGGATTTCTCGGATCGGCGCTGGACCCCCCTCCCTGGCGCGCGGAGCGCGCCAGGGGCGGCGCCTGAGGCGCCGCCAGGGGGGCGTGTCCCCCTACAGAGGGGATTTTCGACGGAAAATAAAATATACCTAAAAGATACACCAAAAGGTAAAACAAATACACAAAACAAATCCCCCTGTCGGGGACAAGGCCCGACTTGAGCCCAGCACCACGGGAGGGCTGGGAAGAAAGAGGCTCGAAGGTCGAAGGGGCGACGCGGCGGAGGCTGCAGGCGGGAGGGCGCCAGCTGCAGACGCCCACGCCGGCGCCCCGGCCAGGGCGATCCTCGGCCGGGGATCGGCGCTGGGGGCCCGCGTTCCCGGGGGGGCACGACACCGGTCCGGGGCTCAGGATGCCGAGGCGGGGACTTCATGCACACCCACCGCCTGGGGGGTCGAGCTTCGGGGGCCCGCGGGGCGGCGGAATGGAAGGGCGCGGGGCGGCTGCGGCGGAGGGTGCGTTGCCTGGGCGTGGGAAGTGTGCGGTGGTGCTTCTTCTGGCCACCAGCAGCTGGCCAGCCATCAGTGGGCCAACGCGTGCGCAGCTCGGTGTGCGCGAGCGAGCAGGGGATATCTCGGTATTCCCAGCGTGCGGCGTCGACTTGTCATGCGGGGCCCGTTTAGTTAATCAACCACCTCTCAGAGCGGCGTGCTCGGAGCAGGAAGTGCCGTGGCCCAGTTCGCCACGACTGCTTTCTCGAATTGCGCCTGCCATGTATGGATGGCAGTCCCTCCAGGGGGTGAGAGCACCCGGAGGGAAAACACGCAGAAACGGTGAATCGTCGACCCCCAGGGAAATAGGGGAACCTGTGGGAAAGTGGGGGGGAAGACGAAAGCCCAGAAAGCACTGGAAACTGTGGGGAATCCTCGGACTTATGTCTCTCTTGTGTTAAGTCGGGCCTGTCCCGCTACAGGGAGAATATTCAAAAATAGTCCAAAAGTAGTTTTGGGGCGATCTTTTGACAATTTTTGAGTATCTTTGGGCATGTTTTAAGTATTTTTTATTTTTCGTCCAAAATCGGCCTGTAGGGGGACAGGCCCGACTGAAATCTAGTGGCGTGTCCCGGGGCCCCCCTCAGAGCAGACGCCTGCCCAGCCGCGGGCGTCGGGCCCGCGCGCATGGGCACGCGGAGCTGCCCACGGGGCCCGTCGGGCCCAGCCCCGGCCCAGCAGCCTCGAGGCAGCGGGGAGGCGGGCGGCCGATCGAGGGGCCGTGTGCCGCCTCCTCGCACCACTCAGGGGGGCAAAAAGCACACAGACACGATGAAATCGTCGAGTCCCGGAAGATGTGGGAAAATATGGGCAGTGGGGGGGAAAACGAAAATCCCCCCCCCAAAAAAGGAAGGATATGGGGAATCCTGTTATGTGTGTGTACGTATCGTTGTGTCCCTGGGCCCCTCGCACCACGAGGAGGCGCGGAGGCGAAGTAGGAGGACGGCCATGGGCAGGAGAGATCGGTTGGGCTCCTGCCTGTTGAGTCGGGCGTGTCCCTCTACAGGAGGAATATTCAAAAAGAGTATAACATACAGTCGGCCTGGATTAGTAGGTCGACCCTGCCAGGTCAAGGGTACCCTTGTGTCCTGTGTCTCGCGACCCATGCTTCCTACATTCCTATGGCAATGTGGCCCTCGGAAGGGTCTTGTGTCCTCTCGCGTGTCCTGCCCAATCAAGTCCGACTATACTATTTTTGAATGTTTTGGGTTTTTGACTTTGCGTCCAAAATCTCCCTGTAGGGGGACACGCCCAACTCAATCCTACTTGTTTTGCGTTGGCTCACGGGATGGGTGCCCCAACTTGTGCGCATGCATGTTGTTCGCTATTCTGCAGAGGGCCCTTGTTGTACTCTCGCGTTGCCCACAGGGACGTGACTCGGGCCCGGGGGGGGGAGCAAGTACCCACGTCCGCCGCCCGCCGGGGCCACCCCGAAGGGGTGACCCCCCAGGCGGTGGTCGTGGATAAGTTCCCGCCTTGCAGGGATCAGGAGGGAAAGAAACACACAGACACAATGAATCGTCGACTCCCAGGAAAATATGGGAAAATATGGGAAGTAGGGGGAAGACGAAAACCCAGAAAATATTGGGAAATGTAGGGAATCCTGCGGTTTGTGCCTATTCATTTGTGTGTCCCTGGGCCCCTTCAAGGGATCCCTCACACCCGGCTCAGCGACAGAAACACCACATAGCGAAACCGCGACCAGGCCGAGCTTCACTGCAGGAGCTTGCCCATCGCATGACGGCACGTCCGAGGTTCCCTGTTTGCCCGGCGACGTTTCCGCTCGAACAACGGGGAGCGGAGCAGGCCTGTGCATCGCCGATCTACGCATACAGTGGGGGCCCATGCCAAGAAACAGCCTGCTTGCCTCCAGGGTGCCCTGGGTTCCTTGGGTTTCGATGGTTCTGCTGTGGAGGGCGTGCACTAAAAACCAATGGGCGTCCTGGGGTCTCAGGGTTGGGTTTCCTGTGGAAGGTTTCTCGTGGTCGGGCCTCCACTGCAGTGAAAAAGACCATCACCATAGCCCCAGACCCCACCTTTCTCAAGCAGTGGCGAAGTGTCCTGGCGTGCCTATAGGCCTACCACTGTTCTAAGAATTTGTTTGTGGTTTCCGCGAAATGTCCTTAAGAACATTTCTGGCTGGGACTGTCTTGTTTCAACACGTCGGGCTTGTGTTCTAAGAAGAGTGTTTCTGTTCTCCGAACACTTCTGGGTTCTAAGAACGTGTCGTGGTAGGCCTATAGGAATGCCGGGACTGTCGGTCCTTGCTCAACTTTCGGCTCCCTTGTTCGAGCCGGGCATCGATCCGTGGGATCCCCGGGGCCCGAAGATCCGGCCGGCCCACCCGCGAGCAGACTGAGGTGCCATGCTTGCAGGCGATCCTTCTCTTGTTCCTTGTCTTGCCGATCGGTGCGGGCCCTCCCTCCCCCTCCCCATGGAGCAGATTTGAGTCGGGCCTGTCCCTGTCCCTCCGCAGGAGGAATGTTCAAAAATAGCAAAAATTGTCTTGGGGCGATTTTTTTTTGGTTGTTAATGTTTTTGACTCTTCTGGAGTACTTTTGACTATTTTTGATTTTTCCTGCACAAATCCACCTGCAGGAGGACATGCCCGACCTAAGTAGATCTTGGCTGTTCTTGACGCCTGCTTCAGGCATGTGGAGTCCCCCCCACGGGACGCACTGTTGCAAACAGTCGCGTGAAGCCGAGGTCCGGAGCCAGACACCACCCCCTCCCCCCCCGTTTCGCCCAATGTCGAGACGCCGGTCAAGAAAACGTTCGCATGCTTTCAGGGGATGGGCTTGGCTGGGTCCGGAGCGGCGCCAGAGATACTGCCCGGCGCCCGCTGTTTCAGCAGCAGGGGGCCGCCTTGGTCGGGTTGACCCAAAAGGGGGTCCAGCGACAAGGGGGTGGAGCAATAGATTTGGTGCAATAGACTTGTGGGGTTGCAATACATTTGGGGCGTGCAATACATTCCGGGGCGCAGACGTATTGCTGGATTTTCGCGTGCAACGCGCTATTTGCAATACAGTGCAAGACAAAAAACTCTGGCGCAGTACATGTGCACTACAACTGCCCGAACTTATTGCAACACCCCCTTTCAGCTGGGCCCCCTTTTGGGCCACCCAAGCTTGGGCGCCACCAGGACCCCGACGCCGCCCCGACCGCCTCGGACGCGGCCGCGGATGGCGAGGCCCGTGGGCTCCGCGGGCGTCGTCGAGGAGGGGGGGCCTCCCGGGTGGGGTGGGAGGTTTCGAGCAGGTGATAGTCTTTTATTCCTTGTTTGGCCGATCGGCGCGGGCCCCCACTCCCCCCGTCCCCCCCCCCCCAATGGAGTAGATCTCAGCTGTTGTTTGGCGCCTGTTTCGAGCGGGTGGAGTGCCTTCCCCAGAGGCAGCACTCTTGCAAACAGTGGCGCCAAGCAGAGGTCTGAAGCCAGACCCTCCCCTCCCCCCCCCGTCCGCCCGATGTCGAAACACCGAATAAAAAACGCTCACCAGTGGCGAAGCGCCCTGGCTCGCCTATGGATGTTCTAAGGACCGTTGGTGGTCTGCACGAAGTGTTCTGAAAACATTTCTGGCCGAGACTGTTTTGCTTCAGCGCATCGTCTCTCACGTTCTAAGAACATGGTTTTTCCTTGGAACACTCCTGGGTTCTCAGAACACTTCGTGGTAGGCCTATGGGACTGCCGGGACGGTCGGTCCGTACCCAAAAGGTGGGGTCGGAGGTTGGCGTCGCACCGCCGATGCGTCGGCGATGCGGCTCGATGTGGATCCTGACTTTCGCCACGCCGGCGACGCCGACGCATCACCGACGTCGCCGATGCATCGCCGATGCATCGCCGATGCGATGCAATGCTCCGGCTCCATCTCTACTCGGACCCCGTCACGGAGGCCTCTCTAGAGAGGGGGGGGGGCGAAGGGGGGGGCGCGCCGGGAGGAGTCGCGACGCGGAGAAAATCCGAAAAAGAAAAGCCAAAGAAGAAAGAACGACAGGGAACCAGAAAAGAGCGCAACAACATATGTACATGTACGCGGTTTGTTTCCGCCGAATTGCGTTTGAACGCGGAGGTTCGTGCACGCAAGACCGCGGAGGGCGTACATGTACACATGTCGTTGCCCGCTCACGCCGGAGGGGAGGGAGAACACCGAAGAAGATCAAAGGGCACAAAGATACATTTTCGGAGCTCCGTGCGGATCTCTTGGATTTGGAGGCGCCGCCAGGGAGAGAGAGAGCCAGCGCCGATCGAAGAAGTCCGCGCGGAGCTCCAAAAGTTGATGCTTGCGCAGTTGCTTGTTCCTCCAAGGACGGGCCCGGAAGGGGAAGTGGACCCAGACCCATCCAGACTCCCTTGCGTCGGGCAAACATCGCGACGGACAGTTTGCCGGTCATCTGTGGGCCCTCGGGGCCCCCACGGGGCCAGAGACCGTCAAGAAAACGATTCGGGATGAAGAAGAGGTCCCCGAGAAGGGGTCCAGACTTCTGGGGGTCCACGTTGTGAAACAATCACGACGTCGGGGTCTGATATGAAGTCGTGCATGTTCCTCCACAGGAGGAAAGTTCAAAAATAGTAAAACATTGTCTCGGGACGATTTTTTGGTTTAAATTAGTTGTGACTATTTAGGAGCATTTTTGGGGTAGTTTCTCGATTTCGTCCAAAATTCGCCTGCAGGAGGACATGCCCGACCTAAGTTTGGTACATTACAGCACAATGGCCATGCGCTCGCGGCGCTTGGGCAAAAATCATCGACAGCACGAAGCCGCAACACACAGCGCATCACGACCCTGACGCAGAGGCGGGAGCGCATCACGACTGCGAAGCAGAACGCACCAGGCACAGCACACGAGGCTTCTAAACTGGCTTCAAAGCAATTTGGGCTCAAGCCACGTGGCTCAGGCCGTTTCAACTCTGGAGTTCGGGTGGTTCCGCTTTTACTTAGATGATCCTTGAGGCTTTGATGATCGACACTCACGAATACAGGGACGGTTGCGCGGCCCTGTACCAGTGCCATATACTGTTGCACTCACACGGCCCGACCAGGCCGTGGTATTTTGGCATCTTCATATGGTATCCATACATCGCCAATGTCGCAGCAGTCGTAATGGTGCTTTCTGCCTACTTCTTTTTCTTCTCGGACCACCCAGTGCACATCTGCGCGTCGAGCCACCTGAGTGTACCTTCATCAACTAACTCAGAAGTGCTCGCGCTGCACAGGGATAAATCCGAACCGTTTACCAGGTCTGTCTGGGTGGCTTGCATGATAGTTCTCTCCTCATTCTTGTGCTGCGCGTTTGGCCCTTTGAAGGACATTGCCAACATCAACGATGAGTCTTTCTCCTGGCTGGTAGTCGGCGCATTGAACCGTGGGGTTATTGTGTACGACATCACACATGACGAATTGGAGTATTATCTCTGGTGTGTGTACATGAGCAAAAAATTGCGACAGAACGTCATTGTGCTGATGAGCATGGCGCTGGTAACCTTCGGCATCGTGTCGCTGCCAACTTCGAAAACCGCAACGTGCGACACGGCAATTAGTCCTGAGGTTTTGGCGCAGCAGATGTGGCATTCGATCGCCGTGTGGCTGCTGTTCCTAGTGTCCGTTTGCGGTGGGGTGCATGGAGTCATCCATATTGTTTACACTTCATGGGGTTTACCCGGGCGGCAGGCCATTTTTCGTATTCCATGTGTCCTTGCAAACCTACTCATATGCTTTCTAGAACTTGCTGGAGTCGTCTTCTTCTTCCTCATGATGGAGGAGGATCGCCACCTGGAAGAGTTCTGTCCCAGAGCCACGACAATGAACAAGACGGATTCGGAATACTCCGTGTATTGGGCAGCGGCCCAGAGATCTTTTGAGTACGAAGCAAAAGCGTTGTGTTTCTTGCTCTTCGGGCTATGGTTCAGAACATATGGCGATCTCGGTTTTAAACTTCTGTCATTGAGGACCTCAGACTTGTTCATTAAATGGAGGCCTGGGGCCTTTAAATGGATTCTGCATATTGTTGTTTATTGGGTTGTGCCTGTAGTCTATTATGTCTTGCTGGTATCGACTTTAAATGCACCAGGGTCGGGGAAGGAGCCCTATGATTTCTGCCACTTAGGGTTGGCAAATGTCACGTGGGGCTGTTCTGTTTTCGAAAGCACCGCCGACGCATTCTGCGAGAAAGCATTTTGACGACGCAATGTGTCAGGACAGGTGCACAAATCAAAATACCATTCCACGTACAAGATGTTCAAGGGCCGCGCTATGCTCGGCAGGCGCTGCATTTTATTGTTGGCTCTCATCTGGGGGACGCAGCGGGATGGCCTTTCCCATAGGGTCCCGCTGCATGCTGCCGCCGATCAGACTGAGCTGCTGCAGGGATGGCAGTTGCCTCTCTTCTGCCCTCTGTTCCCTGTCCATCTCGCTTTTCTCTCTCTCTCTCTGTCTCTCTCTCTCTCTTTCCCTCTCTTTCGTGCCTCTACATCATCATAGTTATTTTGCCGAGCTTGTATGAAAACAACACACACATAGGCTTGAAAACCGGCTCCAGGAGGCGCCCGAGAGCCCAAGAGGGGCCCAAGAAAGGGAACTCCAACTCACATGTCGAGCCCTCTGCCCCAAGTGGAACCCCCAGATCGCCAGCAGGCCCCAAGAGGTCCCAAGAGACCCCCAAACAGCCCCCACTAGGGCCCAAGAGGCTTGAAAGCTGGCTCCAAGAGGCGCCCGAGAAGCATGCCAAGAGACCCCAATAGGTATCCAATAAGCCTCTGACCCACAATCCATGCACGGTG